GCCCTGGCTGGGTACTTGGCCCAGCAGTTGCAGGATCTGGTGTATTGTTGTAGGTGACAATAGGCTGACTGCCAATGTTGGAGTTGTACCGGTTCCCACCAGCTGCTCTTGCCACCTCCACTTGCTCGCAATAGAGGCAGACATTCTGTTGGTAGTCATCATTGATAAGCTGCCTGATGATCCTACTTCCAAGAAATCCTCAGAGTGCATGGGTGGAGATATGGGTGTTACCAGGGGTTCAAAGTCCATAGTGCCTGAGGACAGACTCATTACTCCTGAATGCTGAGTCAGCACTGGGAGTTCATTGGGAAGGGGGATACTGCAGGGTTGGGGGATGCTGATTTCTTCTGGTTTGGGTGCCATCTGCCCAGTACTCAGGGGTTCTGCTGCCTGAGGTGCTGGGTTCTCTGAAGATGGGGGAAAAGAGGGAGGGGTCTGTTCATACTGGTGTGAGTACACTGGCAACCTCTGGTTGGAGCCCATACCAATTAGAGATGTTGGCCCTGGCCAGTTGATCTCTTTCCACTTCTTGCTGGTGGTCTCTGTTTTGCTCATCATACTCAGTGGCTGTTCTCCTTTGTGACTCCTCCTCTGTGTGATGGACCTCATGCTTGCTACATACTGGCTGCAGCTCATTTCACTGTCTTCACTCTTTCTGTCAGACAGCATTGTCATAGTTGAAGGGGATGGTAAAGTCCCAGGTTGAGAAGTACTGGCATACAGTTTCTTCCCATAGTTCTCATTGTCTTTGTTCATTGTTTGGCTGGTCTGAGAGGCCCTGCCCCATCCTGGTGCTGGCTCTGGTGGAGGGACAGGCATTGTGAGACTGGCAGCCAGGTGTTGATGTGTGAGATCTTGAAGCCATCTGAGGGGCATCAAGAGAGTCCTGGGCATGGTCAGCAATCCCATAGGTATGGGAGGTGAAAGAGCAGATGGAGGATGGGGACTGTCAGAAGAAATCCTCTGGAAGGTCCTGGTCTTCATTGTCTGGGACGATGTCTGGTACAAGGATTCCATGTCTCCTAGGGTGCTGGTCTCTGGATTGAGGGGAGCATTGTCCTCTCTCTTCTTTCTGACCATCCCCCTGATGTGAGCTGCTATGCCCAGCTTCTGGGGGCTGATGGGTCATTTGTCTGGATTCAGGGATGTCATGGAGTGGGAGGTCAGGAGTTATGTTTCGTAGTATATGTTAGATATGTTGAAACTCACAGTAATGTTGGATGGTTCAAGCAGTAATGGAATGGCATCCCCAGCACAGCTGGATGATCACCAATAAACCAATCAGTGTTCCAATGATGGAAGCAAAGAGTTCAAAGAACTCATGGTCGAAATTAGAGTTATTGTTGTCAGAGGGGTGCATTCAGTTTCTCAGCAAAATTGGGCTTGAGAAAGAGAAGAAGGCAGCTTCAAGCTCATTGTTAGGCCCAAGCATCATGTGAACTGATACACATGATAAACAGGTGTCCCTTTGCACTTTGAGGGATCAGCTGAGTTTACTGGTATATACCCATATCAGTGTGTCACAAGGTCAATGGTAGACTTGAGGTAGAATGGTAGTTATAAACTTTAGCTTGAAGCTGGGGTTTGGCCAGCAAGGATGAGCTCCTTAAATACTATACATGGTTTTGCTAATAATAATACATACTTATTGTGTGTTTCTCTGTTCTTTGTGCTCTTTGTGCTGGAGTGTCATTACTGTATATAAAAGGCTGATTGTGTGTTGTCGGGCAACATTGAAAGACAATGTCAAACTGGCTAGTTGTGATGACCAAGCCTTGTTCCATGGTCCTAAGCACCTGTCTTAGTGCCCTGACTAAGCATAAATAGGGGTTAAAGGAAAGAAAAATAAGAAAAATCATAACAACTAGAATATGCTAGTAACTGAGGATCATTAGCCAGTAGAGGACTATGGCTGAGGCTCAAAGCTGATAGTCATGCTAGTCACCAATACTAAGTCCAAATTGGACTTTGTAAAAATAACATGGCCTAAGGATAATAATCCTAAGTCAGGTTTGAACTTAGAAAAGTTTGGCACCACATCTTGGAAAATACTAAGTCCAAGTTGGACTTAGAAATCATACCTCAAATGGGGCCAATTCTACATGCCACTAAGACAAGTATATTCTAAGACAGCTAGGGGTATAATACCATAGCCAGTTGTGGAGTATTGAGTAGAGATAGCATCATCCAGGAGCAGTAAGAAGAGAGACTCAATGATATGTGGCTAGCACTGTGAGTTTTGACTCAAATGCCTAAGTCCAAATTTCCTAGGTATCAGGTGACCTAAGGGACTTAGAATTGAGAGGGATAGAATGGATAGGACCAGTTGACCGGGCCTGACCAGGCCTGATCAATCGAGCTACTAAGAATAACTCAGAGGATTAAAACTTTGAGTAGACAGAAAGGAGTTAGGTACCCACAGGCACTGTAGGCTTAAAATAAAGCTGTGCAGTGGCCAGGCAGGTCTGGGCAAGCCTAGGGGAGTCCAGGAGTGCCACTATTCCGGAACAATGGCGTGATTCCGCTTTAAACAGGAGAAATATTATTTTGAATGCTTTATTTATAGATTCTGTACCTGTTGTTGGTGTATAAAAGAAGGGAATGGGGGGAAAATAGCAAGCAAGCGACCCACCCCCGCGTTCAGGCCTTCTAGCCCCCTGTAGCTAGTCCCTGGGACAAAGGATTTTGAGTTCTGCTTCGACTTAGTGATTTATTTAAGTTGCTTTGTCACTTAGAGAGGATTGGATTGGAATAATAACTGTATTTTGAGTTTCAGATTAGTTTGGGTTCCAAACTATAAGGTTTTCAGCATCAGAATACAAGTTTGTTAGTTTTGAGGACCGCTAGCCAGCCAAGAGTGCAGCTAGGCAAGTCTAAGTGCTTGATAGACTTAGTATTTGGGTTTCAGAGTTCATTGGGTTTTGGAATATTCTAAGTTGATTTGGAGTGCAATTTGGCATTCATTCTAAGTCCTAATTATACTTAAACATTGCTATAAACTACTCTCACGAGTATTGCATCTTTGAAAGCAAGATAGAGTTGAATAACTGTCTTTATTGACTGTTTCTTTGATTTTACTTAAGACTGCAAGAGTGCTTCTATTGTACTCGAAAAAACCGACCTCAACTGTATTTGATGATTGTGTATTAAGTGGTTAGCTGTTGGTGTTTGAGAGTTCATTCCTCATTCACTTCTCTTAGTCACTTAACTGTTACCAAGCATATCAGCAGCAAGTTTCAGCAGATAAGGCTTGTACCTCTCCTCTGATGTTGAGGTCTGTTTTGATGCATATACAATTGGATGCACCCATGTGACTGTCTTACCATTTAATGTGTAGATGAACCACTGAGAAAGCATTGCTCCTTTGCTTGCCTTCAAGCTATCTGTCATCATGATCAATGATATGCTATCAAACTGCAGACCATAGAGTACTGGTTGCAAGGTCAGCACCATCTTCAATGCCAGAAAAGCCTTATTCTGGTTCTTCTCCCATTTCTTCTGCAAATCCACTACTGTCATGCATCTCCACCACTCTGTCTTTGTCTTCACTCTACCAATGTTTGCCTTTTTTTCTAGGTTGGAGAGTGGTCTTACAATCTTTGCATAACCAGATATGAGTTTTCTGAAATATCCTGCCAGACCTAGGAATGACTTCAGATTTAGTATTATTTTTAGCTTCTCCCAATCTACAATTGCCATTAACTTTATGAGATCAGGTTGGATACTCTGAGGACCAACCCTTCCACCAGCAAATGTTGCCTCCATCATGAAGAATAGTGTCTTTCTTGCAGAGAGTGACAACCTCTTCTCTCAAATATGCATGAACACTATTTGAAGGTCTGCCATCTTCTTTACAAAGTCTGATCCAGTCAAACCACTATCATTGACAAAGAGCTGCACTGTGGATCTCACCAAATCATCCAGTGAGCTCCTGGTTGTGTTAGCAAAAGTGTTATGATTTTTCATCTTTTCTTTCTTTTTACCCCTATTTATGCTTAGTCACAGTGTCTAACCAAGCATTTAGGACTGTGAGACCACCTTAGTCAGCACAAGACTATTGTCTCCTGACATGTAGTGACATCTGCAACAATAAGACAATTCCCTCTTTATGAGTAGTTATGATAACACAGAGCAACAAATACTACACTGTAGACAGACACAATTGGTAGCACTATAATTAACTATGAGATGAATGGTATATAAGTAGCATAGTCAATGCCATGTATCCCCAGTCTTGAACTATCCTCTATTCTACTATTTTTACTCAAGTCAACTTGTCTTGACCTTGGAATATACCACTATATGACACACAAAGTGAACTCAGATGTGATTGTATAAACATGATACAGCATCTGTTTATCACATGTTAATAGTCACATGTCACTTGAGCCTAACAAAAAGTGGCTGAACATCCAGTCATGCTAAATAGCATTTTAAGATATGTAAAGAGACCATGGCTCTCAGCATAGAAATACAGATATGAGCATATAGATTTATCAGTCTCACATACATAGAAACCTTTTGCAAAATCAAATACTGTGATCTATCTATGACCTGACAGCAGGCCTTGCTTGAACTAAATATCCCTCTGGGGCATCAATGCTACTTTCATCATTCTATTCAGCTCTCAGAAGTTGTGGTAGACATGCCAAGATGGTGTGGTCATCAGAAGAGTGGCATCTGCTTCTTTTAGCACTAATCTATCAGGTATATCATGTGATGAGAAAAACCTAAGTGAAACACTAGTTGTTTATGTGATGTTTGAGCTTATCAAGTGATAGGGCATTGCCACTCTGATGCACTTTCTAAGTGAGGGTAGTTAGAGAGACACACTTCACATCCTTGAGATGGATTGGAGCAATAATATTTAACTCCAGTATCTTATTGATGACTCTGTTGTACTATATCTCCTGCATGGATGTCAGTGGCCATTGCTGAATCTTGGTATTGAAGATGTGGTCTTTTAGTATGTCTATCTTGTGCATGACATCAGACACTGATTAAACCTCATTCATTGACAAGATGAAGTAGTCTGCAAACTCTGTCATAAAGTCCATAATCTCTCTCTGCTGGTCTCTAGTCAAGTCATCACCAATCATGATCTCTCTGAGAATGACTTTGACATAGCATGCATTGTATGCATCTGTCTCTCATGTGAACAAGATCTTATCCACATACAGATCAATCTCTGACTGGACATTCTTGGTCTTGGTGGTGTCATCCTCCTCTATGCTGAAGCAATTGGCTGCAGGCTCTAGCCACTCTATGCAGTTGGTATCAGCTGCCAGTGACTCATTATTAGGGTTTATGTGGAATACTCCCTTTGAAAGAGAAGATAAATCTCTCACTGAGTCTCTCTGCACTAGCCCATGCTCATTTTCACTAGTAAGCAGTTCATTCAGGCACTCCTGTATGCTCTCTCCCTCCTCAGTACTCTCTATGTGGATATGACAGTCTAACTTCACATCAACTTTTGTCATAGCAGTAAGTGCTATGAATTTCAGCCATGGCTTAGCATCTTCTGTTCACATTGCAGACCTTACATGATCATCAGTATCTGGCATATCTTGGAGATCCTTCTTGTGGCAGTAAACTTTCTTCAAAGGGGATAGCAAGTCCTAGTGAGTTTACATACCTGTCTAAATTGACTGCAACACTTTCTCTAACATTGATCTCTTCACTAACTTCACCACTAATGTCAGTCCTACTGCCTTCTGCTATAGCTACTTCTCTACTGGTTATGTTGTCTAAATCTCCAACTGCAGAACTCTCAGTACCTTCATTCAGCAAAATATCAGTATGATATAAATCCTCTATAGATATGCTGGGCTAAACTTTTCTCAAGAGGAAGTGCAAATCTCTCATTGAGTTTGCACATGTCACCTCTGGCTCTTCTGAGGCTTAGTTCTTACTCACTCTCCATCATCTGGAATCATCAGTCTGATTCTCCAACTTCATATAACTATTTAGTCTAAGGATACTGATCATGTCATCTACATAGTCATATATAGCCTGAAACTGTGCAAGTAATGGCTTGCCAAACAAGAAGCTTCAATCCTGCTACTTGCAAACATCTTAAACATGATCTTTGCTTTTGCTAGACCAAATATCATCATCCTCTCTCATGAACCTCTTTGACCACACAAGAGTCCCATACACTATACAAAACCTTTTGAAAGATGGATGCAATGTCCCTAATCTATATATTACTTCATCATACTTTGCTGTACATATTATCCCTGCAAGAGTGCCATTATCAACAGCTGCTGGTATCTTTACAACCTCCTCTTGTGGCCTTTCAAGCATGATCAGTTGCACAAATGGTCTTGTCTTATGCATTCCATTGCCTTTCCCTCACACTCCTGCAGTATAAAGATCAAAGATATTACATCAATATTTACAGGAGAGTATTTGGAGTCTGATGACACATCTCTATAAGCCAATCTGACATCTGCAGAGATCTCACAAATTTTTATCCTACATTCTGGAGACAGGGCTGTACTTCAGATATCAGTTAAACATGCAGTCCATTCTTATTTTTCTGGTTCTCATCTTCACCTTCAAGCTTGACAAGTTGCACCTCCTTCACTGTATCCCTCTGATACACTTCTAGTGTCTTGCAGCATAGTTAATGCCAAATATTCTTCTTTGAATTGATCACAAGTGACATATCACCAAGTTGTACTGAACAGTCACAAATAGAATGACTGTTCATTCCACAGCTGAAACATTCTCCTGTGCAAGTGAATGCTGGCAATAGGTGGACTGAATATAGTGTTGAATAGACAATCCATCTATCAGGGTGATGCATACTTCAGTCTCTCTTCTGCTCTAAGTATGTAGCTACACTTGCTTTATCATTGAGTTTCTTGGAGTAGTCATTGATATCACTGTGCAGTCAGATGACTTGTTGAGTTGTCGCTTCAGGAATCCCACATCAGGGGTTGGCAGATAGAGCATTTTCTGGTCCAGATCCTGAGCAACCATAATGATATGGAGCAGATGATGGAGATGTCAGTGTACTGAAACTAATGTGTGCTAGCTGATTGCTGAGCACAGTGCAGAGTGATTCTTGTTTATAATATATTAATGCACTTTACAACTCTGTGATCTCTCTCTCTGTTTTCACCAGCCTCTCCTTGTCTTGCTTCTTTCTCTCAATATAGTCAGTGATCTCCACTACTGGCATCTTACATACCTTCAGTGTAAAGTCCTGCCAGTCTATAAGTGATGTTTCAATATTGTCACAGATGATTGCTGGAAGATCTTTTTACACAACAGCAATATATGTCTTGCTGCCTGCAACACCTGCCCTCTTTGCTAAATGTGACACCTCTCTCAACCACAAGTCATGAGACCATATCTTCACACCTTCCAACATCTTTTTCACTACTAAATCCTTCTCTCTCAGCATATATGTGATCAGTTCCACTTTCTTCTCCTGGGTTTTTACTGTTGCCAATATCAATAGCTATCATATATCAAATGCTGTGCTAAATTTCTTCTACTTCTCTTTCTTCTCTTTTTTCAGCTCAGCATACTATTCTATAGCATCAGTGTCTGCTGCAATATAGTGTTTGAATTTTTCTGGCCTGTCATCAGCTGATATGCTCTGATCATCTATAATTCACCAAAACATGCTGAGAAAGTCTTATAGACACACTCTCTTGCATCTATCACTATAGAGCATCAAAATGTTCTGCAGAGACATGGTGATTGATAATGTTGGTGATATCAGCAATAATAGTTTCTCTTAGACACTATTAAAATCACAAAATACTATCTACCACTTACTATCAAAGTTATATTTTTAGCCTCTGCTGATCCTTTCTCATCTCAACCTTCTCTGAAATCTAAGCAGTATCAGTGAGATACTTTTCTTTTCTCAATGTCAGCTTGCCTGTTTATTGGTAAGTATCAAATCAAACTGTTATATTTCTATTCTCAAGACTGACAGAAATAATTATTTTGTTAAGATTAAACCAGTATCTGACACCAATTAACAGTGCAACTTTGTAGCATTGTACAGAGCTCCTATATTATAGCAGTGAGATATTCTCTTTGCCCCTATTAATGGTATACCAAATTGAGATCATATGATATGCTATAATGCTCAAGAGAATTAATTAGCACTGTTTTCAACAGGCATCCACATCTGATATCACATAAGTAGAGGCACACTGATATTCATCTATACATTATACCAACACTTATTATACTGTACAGATAGCTGCAGAGGAAGAATTTTTATCTCAGATTACAATAATGCTGAATCCTCCTTTTTTTGTGACTATAAAGCAAACCACAACACATGATTCCAACTCAGAGACTATAATATATTTCTTTTTATCTTCTGCTAGATGCAAACTCACATCTACTCATACTTTGATATCATCCCATCAATGGCAGAGAGGGTTTGGCAATAAGCTCAAAACTGATGCTTCATTGCTGAAACTGTATTTCAGAAAGACACTGATTTAGTATGAATATTTTTGCCCTTCTTTGCTCATATAATAAGGCCAATTTTTTCATTTGACACTTAAATTCACTTAGTGTTTGTTAAGCCCAAACTCCACATGACTATTAACATGTGATAAACAGTTCAGAACCTTGCACTTTGGGTTAGACTGACTGAGTTCACTAATGTGTTAACAGAGGTGTGTGGTCAAGGCATTTGCAAGTCGCTTGAGATAAAATGGTAGAGAATAAACTTTAGCTCGAAGCTGGGGTATTACAGCAAGAGCTATGCTACTTAAATACTGTTCTGTTATCTGGCTATTAATAAGTGTTCATAAAAAGATATTGTCTGCTGTAGAGCTGTTACCACTGTGGTTACCAAGCTCTCCACAAAAGCCATTGTCCTGCTGTTATGCTGTTACTGCTGTGCTGCAGTTCAAGGACAAAAGAGTATTGTCTCTCCCTTCACAGCATACAGCAGTGCAATAAGATGATGACTGACTTGATTGCTGAGCTAAGCATTCCCATGGTCCTAAGCACTGGCCTAAGCACTCTGACTAAGCAAAGATAGGGGTTAATTCCAAAGGGAAAAAGGAAAGAAAATAGAAAAAATCATAACAGTGTTAAAACTATTTTTAGTCTCTTTATCACTGTACTAAAATTTAAGTATTTTTGCAGAAAAAATAATATACATATCTATAACTTTTCACTGTATTTTATAAATTTTGCATAAAATATTTTAAGTCTCAAAATATTTTCTGTAATTTTCTCAGTGAAAAAACTATTTAACAAAACTTTACATATTTTATATATATTTGTGAGTAAAAATACATTAAATTTCATCCAGCATATCACTTTGTGATGTTGTATTTCTTCACAAGAATTTCATCCCTGTTTTTCTGCATAATGCTTTCAGCATTGACATTGATATAAGCATACTTCTAGTGTATCCTCAGCTTCAGACTGGTTAAAAAGATCTCAGGATGATTATTGCATGTTAATCTTTTACAATTTTAGACTGCTCAAAATATTCTCCCATTCTATCTCTGGATCACCTCCAATGAGGGACTGGATGGCAGGCACCTCAGAGAACATTTGTGGATCTTCAAAAGTAAATATTCATAATAGAGACATTATGAGGATTACTCTGCTACTGCAGTCCTAGATATGATGGTCAATCTTGGAGTCAGTGCATCTGGCAGCAATAAAAGACTGGAGCTCACACCAATGTCAGATCCTCAATGGCAAACAGTTCTAGGCTACTTGATCTAGGAGAATGTAATAGAGAGTAAGTATAAAGTTATTAGTAAAGTTACTGAATAAAATCTCATTAGCTATTTTCACAGTTAAGGATTATCAATGAAGAATACACAGAGCATCTTTTCACTTAACTTCTATTCTATTTGATCTATCTTATTGACCTTCCTTCATGGACATCACATTATTGAAATCTGAACATAAAGCAGAATATGCAACTTCTGTCCATATGAGAAGCATTTTAATATTTAATCACCAGCTGATAACTGACTTTATATCCATGAGACCTTGCCAGACAGTGTTAATAAGAGTAGCATTGTATTTTGCATATATATAAGAAATATAAAGAAGTTAGAGAACAGCTAAGCCAAAGAGTAAAGAATATACTCACTGTTGTATATAAACAAATTAAAACAAAGGTCAACAGTGACTATAGCTGTATGATGACATTCCTTATCATTGTCAGGCATATTGTAAACAGTGTTCTCCAGAGAGTCCTCAATTGTGTGAACATGGATATTACCCTCAGTCTAGTCAAGATCAAAATCTCACCTCTGTGGCAAACCTT